CTGGCACACTTTTCCCGCCTTTAACGGATGTATTGTCTTTTAATCGGCTCAGCTGTAATTCTGATGACAGTTGCATCCCCGCTTTGGAAGGAATACTACCTTCATTTATTTGAATTCACAAATGTCTTAATTCAAAGCAAGATAATTAACAAGCAGCAGCATGGACAGAGCAAAAAACCGCTCATCTTTTCTGATATGCTGAAAGATCTCTAACATGCTAAATTTCACTCAAATGCATCGTATACAAATTTGGCCTTCAGAAGGGGAAGGTCCTCTGATGAGGCTCTGAGGTCAGTGCAGTGGTCATTTATTGTTCTGCTGTGGCGCCCAATGCAGCAGAGAAGCGTCAGAGGAGGATTAGCAAGCTGTGGCACATGTCAGGGAGTGAGAGTGTGGCGCGGGCGTCATCCAGCTCAGAGACATGAACACAGGCCTGAGCACGCTCAGAGGCACGAGCAAATCAACATGCAGCATGAACTTTATCTGCACGTGAGACTCACCTGTAGACTGCTGACTAGGGTAAAAGGTTAAAAACACCTCTTTAGGCAGCTAGAATACATCTGGTAATAGAATTTTAGAGAAGTGTTTTCATGTAAATGTTATGCTATCTGTTTTAGTAAAGCTAAAATCTCTAAAGGTTCTTTCATGGTCAACCAAGACCAAGGCTAAATGATGTCATCACCTACGTTCTTCTCATTACAGGCCATGTGTATCTAACTGTAATGGATGCTGAAGGAGAGAGGAGTAGCACCTTGGGAGAGTCAGAAAGGGAGTAAAAATCATCCTAATCATGTTTGGAACAACAGATGAACTTTCTCTTGTTTTAATGTCATGACTGAAATCTTTTGGTTTTATCTGGACTTGGGCGTGGACAAGTCAGGTCTCTCTCTCTCACACACACATATCCCTGTATAACAGTATTTTCCAACTGTCATGAGTTAATAATAAATCATTTGAATAATCGAAGCGAGCAGTGAGGCCCGTCTCACACCTGTAGATGGAGTTGTATTTTCTTCAGGGAAAAGTGATCAGCTGTGCTGGTATTTCCTCATGTTTGATTGATCTGTTTGTAATTTCCTAGATGCACTTAACAAGACACCCAGTAAAGTGTTTCCTGCTTCGTGTGGTGCCGCCCAATCAGACACAAGAAAGCCTCGGTATAAAACATTTAAGCTGAAGGCTCCTCTGCTTCAGATCATGTGCCGGGTCTGCTGTGGACAAATCAGATAGAGAACCGGTCTTCTTTTTTAGGAGACAGTGAGGCTCATCTCTCCATGCAGCAGGTGGAGACAGATGCCTCATTATTCATGCCACGGAGGACAAACACAGGCCTGGGACGTGCTGCCCCCCCACTAGCGTTTAGTTTCCAGTGAGCTGACACAAGGCAGCATTGGACCGTCGCCGGGTTGCTCTCATCTCTGACCTCGGTGAGCGCAGGTCGATCGCAGATTCACATTAAAGTTTCAGTGGACCCAAAGGTCCCCGTCAGGAGTGTTAACAGCACCATTGTCCTGTTTCCCCTCGACTCAAAGGGCCAAGTGTAACAAGGCACCCCTTCCAGTGGTTGGCACCGCCCCCCACCACGCTCACAGATACAGTGACGCCTTTCAGACCTGTCAAACGTTTTCTTTGAGTCTCTCTGAGTCAAATGGAAGTGGAGATGGAAGATGTGGTGTGTGATATGAGCACCTGAGTCCAGCAGGTAATGACCCAGGTGTGGGATCAGACTCAGATGATGGGATTCCCACTGAGAAGGCTGATCACATTAGACTGGCCTCCAGCTAAACAGCTAGTCACTACCTGCCAACTGAGCCTCACTAAGTACAGCCTTTATATCACCTTACTGTACATTTCATGCTGCGCTTTTAAATCTTTTCTTTAAAGTTGAAGCTCAGAAGACATTTATCATCAGATGACTACAGTTTATCTGAACTCTATTCTAATGAAAAAGCTTACACCTCATTAGCACTACTAATGTTTTTGAGCAACAGAATCTAAATTTCCCTTTTTTAACGCTATAAATGAACCCAGACTACATTTTTAGCTTATTTTTTTTAAGTAACAGGATTATTCTGCTAAAGTAGTTTTGGCATCAGGACGTGAGCCACAAAAATCACACAAGTGACATCTGCTGGAGGATGAGCTTGGCCCATAATGAGTCTAACCTCCCACTGTTACAACAAGACAACATTTATCTGGCATTGTTGGATGGAATATTTCTAAAACAAAGAAAACACCTGCTCCAGATTTTATGACATCACTTCAACATGCTGCAGCTTGGCTCTCTACTGTACATGATGGCTGCAGCTTGGCTCTCTACTGTACATGATGGCTGCGACAAAAGAAGCCATGATTAAAACTCTGTCCTTTGTTCATTTCAACGAGCAATAAAATATTTGTTAATACAGACAAAAAAGCTGCCATCACAGCCTGGTTCAAATTATATTTTCAAAGGACCAGAATCCACAAGAAGCTCAGCTAAACTCACTGCGGTCTCAAAAATCCTTGTTTCATGAAAATAAAAATCATTTTTCCAAGTAATGCCACATAAATGTGAAACAGTTTCAAGTGTGAAATGATGAATTGCCATGTGCAGTTTCTATTCAGGTTTGTTTTTACTGAAGAATGAAATGTCCCTGTGGAAGTTCAGGTGTAGATCTTCGAAGGAGCCTCTGAAGCACACAGAAGCATCAATCCAGTGATAAAATGAGCCGTGATAGTACGAAATCCCTGTTCACGGGTAACCCCTGCTCCTTAAATAGAAATAGGTTCAACACCCAGTGTTCATGTACCGTTAGTTGCTAACATAAACAGCTAATTGGCCATGGGCATCTCACTAAGACTCAAATCTAGTATTTTCAAAACTACTGATTCATCCATCCATCCATCCATTTTCATCCGCTTATCCGGAGTCGGGTCGCGGGGGCAGTAGCCTAAGTCGAGAGGCTCAGACTTCCCTCTCCCCAGCCACTTGGGCCAGCTCTTCTGGGGAAATCCTAAGGTGTTCCCTGGCCAGGTGAGAGACATAGTCCCTTCAACGTGTCCTGGGTCTACCTTTAGGCCTCCACCCGGTTGGACGTGCCTGGAAAACCTCACCAGGGAGGCGTCCTGACCAGATGCCCGAGCCACGTCAACTGGCTCCTCTCGATTTGGAGGAGCAGCGAATCTACTCCGAGCCCCTCCCGAATGACCAAGCTTCTTACCCTATGTCAAAGGGAGAGCCCAGCCACTCTGCGGAGCAAATTCATTTCGGCTGCTTGTTTCCGCAATATCGTTCTTTCGGTCACTACCCAAAGCTCATGACCATAGGTGAGGGTAAGAACATAGATCAACCAGTAAATCGAGAGCTTCGCCTTCTGACTCAGCTCTCTCTTCCCCACGACAGACCGGTACAACACCCCGCATCACTGCAGATGCAGCACCAATCCGCCTATCGATCTCACGCTCCAGTTTTCCCTCACTCGTGAACAAGACCCCGAGATACTTAAACTCCTCCACTTGGGGCAGGACCTCATCCCTGACCCGGAGAAGGCATTCTACCCTTTTCTGAATCAAGACCATGGTCTCGGATTTAGAGGAGCCGATTCTCATCCCAGCTGCTTTACACTCGGCTGCGAACCGCTCCAGCGAAAGCTGAAGATCACGTTCTGATGAAGCCAACAGGACCACATCATCTGCAAAAAGCAGAGACCTGATCCTCAGGCCACCAAAACTGATGCCCTCCACACCTTGGCTGCGCCTATAAATCCTGTCCATAAAGGTTATGAACAGAATGTGTGACAAAGGGCAGCCTTGGTGGAGTCCAACTCTCACTGGCAACGAGCCCAACTTACTGCTGGCAATGTGGACCAAGCTCTGACACCGTTCATACAGGGACCTAACAGCCCGTATCAGAGGGCCTGGTACCCCATACTCCCAGAGTACCCCCCACAGGGACCCCCGAGGGATGCGGTCAAACCCTTCTCCAAATCCACAAAACACATGTAGACTGGTTGGGCAGATTCCCACACACCCTCCAAGGATCCCCCTAAGGGTATAGAGCTGGTCCAGTGTTCCACGGCCAGGACGAAAACCACATTGCTCCTCCTGAATCTGAGGTTCAACAATCCAACGGACCGTCCTCTCCAGAACCTCTGAATAGACCTTACCAGGAAGGCTCAGGAGTGTGATCCCCCTGTAGTTGGAACACACCCAGCAGTCTCCCTTTTTAAATAATAAGGGAACCACCACCCCGGTCTGCCAGTCCAGTGGGACTGTGATGACTACTGATTTAACGTGGTTTTTACCCACATCTGTTTCTGGAGTTTGTGTGGATAAAATATCTAGTTGAGGTTCGATGAGAATGGTCAGACTGGTTCTAGATGCTAGCTATTCTCTGGTTCCTATAGGTCAGCAGACCAGCATTTCTGACCCAAAATTTATGGTGTGAGGGAGATGTTCTTGTCCCTTTTTGGACCACTAAGCACCAGAGTATTGTAGCTGACATGTCTACCCATTCATGACCACATGGACCAGTATTCTGATGCTACTTCTGCTGACCATGAGTTCAAATAACTCCATCGACCTCCACAGTCACCAGATCTCAGACCAGTCCAGAACCTTTGGGATGTGGCGGAACAGATTTTCATATGAATGAAACAGATGCTGTCATGTTAATATGGACCAGAACCACAAACTCCTTGTTGAATCTTTCGTGTGAAGAACTGAAGTTCTGTGAACTGACCTACAGCTGACAGTCTAGTCACATCCAAAACCTTTCCTGCTGCTCACTCTTCTGTAAGTTTTGTTTCTGCAACTTTTATATTTACTATAAATATATATTTACTTTTAAATTTTACTATAAAAGTGTTATTTTATTTAAATGTTGCCTCTGACACTTTGTCTTCTTGGCTTGTTAAACTATCGACAAAAATCCTGAAACCCATTTAGTGTTAGGTGTGTGTGTGCACTAGCAGATCACATAAAAGAAGCATGCAACAGATAAGAGACACAACCCAATATGTAAAATATAATTTATTCTTAAAAATCTCCAACTGGCAACAGACTAAAGTCCAGAATGTGTTTATGATGCTGAAGTTCACAAGTGAATTTAAAACATATGTATTCACGGTCTGACCATGACATGTGACATGTGTAAAGTACAATACTGCTTTTAAATGATTTCATGTATCAAAAAATGATCATTAAAACCATAAGTACATAAACTGATTACAAATGTGTGAGCTGAAGTGGTAATGGCTGTCTCTGACCCAGGGTTAATTATCCATAATATTATTTAATAAATCTTGAAAAGCACCAAACTCAGTCGTCTGTCATGAGCTGGTGGCTTTCTGCCACCTAGTGGCATTTATCTGCACAGCAGAGCAGAAAGTCCCTGACCTTGTGATGCTGCAACAGCATGCGGGAAATTCATGCATGATGTTAAACAGATGGTTGTTTCAAGTTCCGGGCAGATTAAAAAAAACTGGCAGTTGTCAATCCCTCTGTTTCTCTGTCTTACTGTAGTAAAACAGGTAAACACAAACAGCAGCATTCACCAAGAACTTGATCAGACCGATTGATGAAAGGCCGTAGTTCACGTAGAGAAAGCCACCGATAGTCGGTCCAATTGTGCGAATCAGGGATTGGACCGATGCACACAGACCCAGCATCGTTCCTGAACACAAGAGCATAGAATTAATCTCACCTTGTCCGTTTTCTGACGAAAGCAGCAGGATAAGCTCACCTGTGTCAGAGGAGGGGACACTCTTGGTGAGCATGCTATCTGTGATGACATTGAGCAGGCTGAGAGAGAAAATCATTGGTGTGACAGTGACGCAGAGCTGGAACACAGTCTGCATGTAAGCCTGCATCAGAAAGGTAACAAGAAACAGGAAATAAACAAGTAAAACAAATCATGAAGGAGCAACAGATCCTGCTCTTATTTAAACTGATAATAAACACTAAAGTCCTTTTCTAGACACCGTTTTAATCCTACGCTACGGGAAAAGCTTTCGTTTTGCATTTTATTACTAGTTCATTCTTAGTTTTGTCCCTAAACCAGTTTCTAATTGGACTGGGAAGGTTGGAGACTGGTTGGAGACATAAAATTGTGAACAAATTCACACATTTTCAGTTGGATTCACAATGAATTGGTTCTGACGTAACTTCTGAGTACATTGAAACTGTGTTTACATTTATGAACTTTCCTTTTCATGTAGCATTTTTAGCACAGCTTTTGTTTTTGCTGATTAGTTTGTGTGGTGGTTGGACACCCTCATACGATTCCACTATGGGTTGAAAGTTTCCTAGTCCCCTTTCCAACGACCGTGCACCTGGTATAAGTGTCTGTCTGTAGCTTGTGTTCAACAGGATGGGGTTTAGAAACCACACATGTAGAGATGTTATTTGTATTTTTTAACTAGAAAGCTGCAAATTCCAGTCTTATCGTTAGTTATGGAAATATTTTAGCACACCTAGATGGTCAGGTTTTTCTTTTATTTCTCCGGTCACTCACAGCTTGTTTTCACCAGTCTCAGGTAGGGATGTAAATCTCCCCCACCGAGGCCTATTCGATTCGTATCTCGATGCACTACCAGCGATACCATACATTAACGATACAGTGAAACCCTCTGCTGATACGATTCGATACGATTCATCCCTGCTGACGATTAATTGACGATTTGAAAACTATTTTCGATTCAATACAATTCCTGATGCGATTTGAAACGATTTAACACATTAAAAATAATTTACAAGCCCTCATCTAGTTTTTAAACATCATCACAATTATTTTTCCATCTCTATTAAAGATGTAATTGATCCTCTATTGTTTTCGATTAATCTATAAATTCAACATTCACAAATTATGTTGGAAACCTCACATAAAACAGGTTAAAGGAAAGGTAGCATGGATGTATTGGGCTGTTGGGAAAAGTAAGACATTTTGTGAATCAAAAGGCACTGTATATACTGTACTGCACACCGATAGTACCATACCTAACTTACTGTATTGAAGTGTGGGGAAACATCTATAAAACCACCCTATATGCACTTTGTACATTACAAAAACGAGCCATAAGGTTGGTCATTCATGTGGGATATAATGAACACACAAATAGCTTGTTTATAAAATTACAAACCTTAAAGTTCAAAGATTTGATCGAATTTAGGACTGCATTATTTATGTACAATGTAAATAAAAAAATACTGCCTGAAAATGTTCAAAAACTGTTTGCAGAAAGACAAGGTAGATATAAGTTGAGAAGGGAATGAAATATGAAGCAGCATTATGCTCAAACAAATTTGAAAAGTATGTGCATTTCAATGAGTTCTTTTATGGAATAGTCTTGAGGAAAAAATTAAAGAAAGTTTAAATATAGTGCAATTTAAGAAATTATATAAAGAATTATTTTTTTCCAGATATAGACAAGAGGATCACTAATTTGCAAATGTGCTGTAGTGATAATACATATTAACGTTGTTGTAATCTATGTTGATACTTTTGAGCTGTTGTATTGTGATATTTTAAATTTTTTAAGTATGAGTAACTTGATTTAGGGATAGGTGAAATAAGTTATGCTTCTTCCTATTCCTTTTCAAACAAATATGGTTGTGATAAGTTATCTAAGTTGGAAATGACTATATGTATTGCTTTATCTTTTTTGAAATAAATGAAGTAAAAAAAATTAAATAAAAACATGAAAATAAAATGCACTTCATCAGTGCCCATCCATCCATTTTCAACTGCGTATCCGGGTTAAGGTCGCAAGGGCAGCAGCCTAAGTCGAGAGGCCCAGACTCCCTTTTCCCCAGCTACTTGGGCCAGCTCCTCTGGGGGAATCCCAAGGCGTTCCCTGGCCAGCCGAGTGACAGAGTCCCTCCAGTGTGTCCCGGGTTTTCTCTTGGGTCTCCTCCCAGTTGGACATGCCCAAAAAAAAAACACCAGGGAGGCGTCCAGGAGGAATTCTGACCAGATGTCCATGCCAGGATCCCCCTAACGGTATAGAGCTGGTCCAGTGTTCCACGGCCAGGATGAAAACCACATTGTTCCTCCTGAATCTGAGGTTTGACAATCGGATGGACCCTCCTCTCCAGAACCCCTGAACAGGCCCTACCAGGGAGACCGCAGGGTGTGATCCCTCTGTAGTTGGAACACACCCTGCAGTCCCGTTTTTTAAATAGGGGGGACCACCATCCCAGTCTGCCAGTCCTGTGGAACTGCCCCCGATGTCTACGCGATACTGCTGAGCCGCGTCAGCCAACACAACCACAACCAGGGCCTAATTACGCCTGCCGCACACAAGAGCAAACTGCCCCGAATGACTGTTTGCTCAGCAGATACCTGGCTGTGTGCGCCTGATTTTCAATTAGTTTTTTGCCTCACAAGACGCTGAGGTGAAAATCAAAGCAGTTTGATATTTTTTGCCTCACAGGGGGTAGAAACTCATGTCTGCTGCTGGCTGAGCTGAAAGATTCTAGTGGCCAATCAAAGCGCCTTCTCCGCTCACATGACTCCAAGATGGCAGCTCCCTGTCTGCATGTCAGAAAAATAAACAAAATGGTACCTTGCGGAACGATGGGCACACTGTTTCCACTACCCTCTTGAAGGATTCAGGATCCAGGCGGTAGTACTGTCGGAAGCATTCTGGGTCTTCAAGGCACATCTCTTGGAGTAGATTGGCTTAAACTCCTTGCCTGGCCCTTCTTTCCTAACCTTGAAATGACGGTGGCGGCGATACCTCATCATTAAAACAAGTAGAAGCATTTCCTCCATTTCCAGCTCTGTCTCCGTATTTTTTTTCTGACATGCAGACAGGGGGCAGCCATCTTGGAATCATGTAAGCAGAGAAGACACTTTGAAATTGTTCAAAGTTACAGCACCATAAGAGCAAAGCCCTGCAGTTGTAGATAAAACCATTTGGAGCCCAGCTACTAAAAATAATCAGTTCCAGGTTAAAGTTTATTTTTAATCTTGATACTTCTGTAAGATTTTATTTAAACACCTTCCATCTAAAATGTCTGTATTGTGTGTTTTGTCTTTACCTGAGCCAGTCCTACAACAGAGGAAACTGCAATGGACAAAAGCAGAAGTGATGTCTCAGATAACCTCGCTGTGAGCCGACCGATCACTCCTCCCTGAACAACCTGGACAAAAACAATTGTTTGGTAAATGGTAGAAGGTAAACTGCTTGTATTTGCCTTCTAGGGGTCTACAACCCCCCCAAGTCACTTTACAACACATCCAGTCATTCACCAACACACACACACACACACACACACACACATATATATTCACACATTGGTGGTAATGAGCTACAATGTAGCCACAGCTGCCCTGGGGCTCATTGACGGAGGCGAGGCTGCAGGAAGCGGGTTTAGTGTCTTGCTCAAGGACACCACCACTGCAACAGATTGAGCAGGACTTGATCCCGTAACTCTCCAGTTACAAGATGGACACTGAACTCCTCTGCCACCGTCGCCCCGTGTCTGATCTCATCACTCTCTAGCTATCATCATCATGTGAACCCCTATTCTGAGACACTTGAATCAAACAGCGTTTATTTTACCATCTGAACAATGCCAAAATAGGCCATCAGGTAGCCGTTCTCCTCAGGTCCCAGTTTAAAGAAGTCCAGAGCGATGATGGAGAACATCACCTGAAAGATGCCTTAAGAAACAAGAGGACCTGATCATTCAACCTGTTTACTTTGAACCAGAAGAGCATCAAGGTGTTTATCCTAAATGGTGTTTAGCACGTTTCTCAACATAGAACACAGTAATCTCTTCATTTTACATGAAGAACTAAATATTTTACAGAAAAATATGTATCTGTTCACTAAAGTGATAAAATCCTAATAGGTGTGTGGAGTTTTAAAAGTCTTTGCACACAGATCTCACCTGACGGCAAACCTGTGATGACTTTAATCAGAAAAATCCTCAGCACTCCTGGAAACTTCATCAGCCTGGTGATCTCCCCCACGCTAAATACTTTCTTGTTTTGATTCTCAGCTGCAGAAAAATTTTAACAAAATTTAAAAAATCCAAAGTTTTAAAATCCCATAAAGTAAGTAACCACATTTTATTTATATAGCACTTTTCACAGACATAGAATCGCAAAGTGCTTCACATAGATCAAAACTAAATAAAACAAAGTCATAAAATCATAATGATCTCAAAGCAGAAATAGATTAACATCAGAAAAAATAAAGTCATAAAATTATAACATTTTATAAACAGATGAAAGATTATTATAAATTTGAGTTAAAAATAAAACAAAAGGTTTACGTGAAAGCAGCTTTAAATAAAAGGGTCTTTGGCTGTTTTTTAAAAGTGTCCAGACTGTCAACGCTGCGTAAGGATAACGGGAGATCATTCCAGAGTCGGGGTGCAACAGTCTGGAAGGACTGATCACCTCCACTTTTTTATCTGGTCTTTGGAACTTCTAGAAGGTTCTGGTGTGCAGACCTGAGGGCTCAGGTTGGAGCATAAGGCTGAACAGTTCAGTAATATAGGGAGGAGCTTGACCGTGTAGAGCATTGAAAGCTATACTCAGGATTCTAAAATGAACTCTAAAGGTAACGGGTAACCAGTGCAGAGACATTAGACTAGGAGTGATGTGTGCTCTTCCTTGCTCCAGTTAGGAGCCTCGCTGCAGAGTTCTGGACCACCTGAAGGCGGCCAAGGGCTTTTTTGTGAAGAGTGTGTTACAGTGATCTAGACGGGAGGAGATAAAGGCATGGAGAACCATTTCAAGCTCATATTTTGACACCAACCTTCGCAGTTTGGAGATATTTCCTAAGTGATAAAAACAGTTTCGGACCAACGTTTTTGAGTGGCCTTCAAGAGACATTGATTGGTCAAAAACAACACTTAAATTCCTTAAGTTCATCTTGCAGCAAAGGATAAACGACCAAGTTTTTGACTAAACAGGGGAACCATGTAATCCACCATCTTTCAAGACACACTTTGAGTCACTAAATGCTGAGACATGATGGAGATGTAGTTTTGGTTAAATCTTTAAAGCAGCATTATGGAAGATCTCATTCATTTAAACCACAAGTTCCCATTTGAACTGTAAAATGAAACACTGAATGTAAATCAAGTAACTGAAAACCAACTCTTTCTTCTAATGGGACACAAGCAGCTGAGACCATAAAGGGTTTTCTTACATCTACCGCTGCTTCTGGAGGTTTCGGTTTTAGTAGATTTAGGAATGAAGTTTAAAACCAGCAACAAGCTGAAGGCACTTCCTGCAGCACCAAAACATGCAGTGAACGTCTCCCTGAAACATAAATAAGTGAAATCTACGTTAGTAAAGAAAAACCTTTCGCCTCATCGTTACAGCTGAACATACTCACCCATAGCGGGTGTTCAGATGTCCACCCAAAGTGGAGCCAGCTATCATTCCGATCCCAAAACACAGACCAAGTTTGGATAAAGCATCGGCCCGTTTGTCAGGCTCCGAAAGGTCTGCAACCACCATCTGGCATGCTGCAGACATAAAGTTCCCAACATGCAAGCTGGTCAAACTGAATACGTTCAATTTCTCCGATTCTCCAAACTTAGATCACTCTGCAGGTTAGATACTGACTAATAAGAAATGCCCAACCAGAGTTCACCCAAAAAAATGAATTAATATATAAAACGACAAGTGATCTTTTTCTTATAGGTCACATATTTTATTCTTCTGTAGGAGGTGATTGTGTTTCTCACCAGGCAGAGCGTGCATGAAGACTGTAGGTAGCTTGTGTACGAACAGGAGGACGGGATGGTCGGCGACGGCCAGGAGGACAAAGAAAACAACTGAAGCTGCACATGCTAAAGACAAAGCAGCGCGAGCGCCAAACAGATCCCCGAACCTGTCAAGAAAACCAGACTGATTCATGTGAATGTGCTCTTCACCCCAGTGTTAAACGGCTGCTGTTTAAAGGCTTTTGTACAAACCTTCCAAACATCGGACCCCCAACCAGCTGAATCACGCCCACTGTTGTTTGTAGATAACCAAACCACAGCGTATCAAAGCCAAGCTTCTTTGCCAAATACTGCAGAAACAGGAAGATAAACACACATTAAAACTAATACAGAAAGTGGTGCTTGTACCCAACATGGATAACACCATAACCAGTTAGATCAGGTTAAAGCGGGTCGGTTTTAACTAAAGCCTAGTCAAATGTTAGAGGGTTTGATCCATGTAGAGAATAAATGGCCATCCTGTTCAGGTTCTCAGGGAGCTAATGCCTCCAGTAATAAGGTGAGATGTTAGGTCACCAGACCATCACAGAGACCCACAAGAACACTGACACACAGACTCACACCTAGGGACAAATCTGAGTTGTCACCTGCCAATGCATGCTTTTTTATGTTTTATCTGTGAGTGGAAATCAGCAAACCAGAGAAAATGCACACATGCATGTGTAGAGCTCGTGGACTCCAAGCAGGAAGGCCTCAGCCTTATTACCTTATTTGCTGGAAGGCAAAAACTTAGCCAAAATTCTCTGTGCATGAAGACAGACGTGAAACACTTGTCCCACAATTCATGCACATTTGTTTAACTTAAAGGTGTTTTTCATTCAGTTTTATTGTTTTTTGTGAAACTTGTGTTTGAAGAAATGTAAGTAATGACACCTTTCAGGACTGATAAGCTAACAGCTAGTGCAAACACTGTTAAAACCAGAGTTCCATACAAAAAAAACCATTTAGCAAAACTTACGCGTTATATCAGAGGAAAGGTTAGCTGACGCACCCGAAGCTGCTGCTGCTGCCGGGATGTTAGCTTTTGTAAATAACCACTCTTTAGAGCTGACTGATGATGAAAAAAGTCTAAATGTTTAATTATCTCTTTGGTTGTGAAATACAAACCATAGTTAACACCTTTAAGACTTCCTGATTTACGCCAGCAGGGGGCAGAGTTGAGCTGTTTAGTGGGGATTAAAACATGTAAAAGAATTAAGTATTAAACCATAATTACTTTCACTAGAATCACTAGAACCTGCGATAAAATGACCAGTTAGAAACACATGTAGGTAAAAACTGAAACATAAAGAAAGCCATAGACAGACTGCAACAAAGGCTGAGAAGAACTGCTACGGAAGCTGGGAGGTCTTGGCATAGATCACGCAAAGAACTTTTTTCAGAAGCTCCCACTCTCATTATTAAAAGAATAGAAATCATAATTTATTTAATGATCAACATGATGCACACACACAGGCGCGCGAGCACACACACACACACACACACTAACACACCAGTCATAATGGATGAGTGCTGTGTTTTTCTTTCGTGCTGCCATCATTACTTCTGCTGATTATTTAAAATGCCACAAGATAGTTCAGATCTTTTTCCTTCAGAAGAGATAAAAACAAAAACATGGAAGCGATTTGTTTAGAAACTTTGGGAGAACTCCAGGAGAGGAAGTAGATCATTAAGGAAAGAAAAACACACAGACTCTGAAACCGTTAGAGATGCAGATTTATCTCAGCATTGTGAGTTTAGATAAACTGCTTACATCAAGGATGTCCAAACTTTTTAAGGACGAGGGCCAAAATCATGAAGTTAAAACTCCTCACGGGCCACAAAAGTTTTTTTTTTTAAAGAATGCAAACATTATTTTTAGGGATGGACAATATATCAGCATCAATATCGGTATCGGTTCAATAAATAAAACTGGGCCGATATTAACAACCGATATTTTTTCCATCTTGACTCCATTTGATTTCCTGTTTCAGAGGGTGGGGGGAGGGGGGTAATGGTTTAGTCATGTGAAGGGTGAATGAAATCATCTCAGAACCGTAAATGTGTGTGGTGTGTGTACAAGATAACATAAATTCAGATTTAATCATTTTCATTCTATACAAAATCTGCTGATTTTAGAAGCATTAATGTCAGTGTATCGTTATCGGCCACAACAGTGATCTTAATCTCGGATATCGGGATCGGCCCAAAAATTTCATATCGGTGCATCACTCATTTTTATTCAAAAATGCCTAAAATAGATATAACTGTAAAAATTTGAACATAAAATACAAAAATATATGAATTTATATCAACAGCCTCCTGGAGATATTCCACAATTCTAAAAAGGCAAGTGAGGGCCACGCAAAATCCCTCCCAGGGCGGCAAATGGCCCCCAGGCCGGACTTTGGACATCCCTGGCTTACATTAAGTCCATTTGAATTGTATTTAATTTTATTTATAAAGTTCTACTTCAAAATTGTCCAAAATGGAAGTTTAACTGCTAAATAATAACTGATTCAGCTTTAACCCTTTGATGCATAATGGTCACTACAGTGGACAGGTACTTGAAATTGTTATTTCTTTATTTTTGCTATTAAGCACAGCTGTTGAAGACTTTATAGCATTTGAACCCCTCCATTTGTACTTCAGTAAGTCAAGCCAACATATTTCATGTTCAGATTGCACAATGTCCACTGAGGTGGACATGTAATAAATTATTTGTAAATTAAATTTGACAAAAAATATGTAAATATGAAATTTGTTACATTCACACCTAAAGATGAATGCAAAAAATTGTTTAAAAAAATCATGGTTGAAGATTTCATAATTCATGCATCAAAGGGTTAAGGGTATAGTTAGCATTCACTTCTACAGATTAACGTCTACTTCAACCTGTTTGGACTTGGTAGAAATATTTGTTTTTAGGAGAACAATGACTCTAATGCTCCAGAAGGCTCAGAGCTGGTTTAACCATCACAGATGTTGATGGAGCTGTGAACTCATGACCTGACCTTCACCTGTCCTAAACTAGTTTGAGATGGTTGAGATTTTCTCTTTTTCATGTTTGGCTTTTATTTTTACAGTTTATCATCACGGTGCATAGTCTCAGATTATTTTAGTGTTTATCTCCTCCTGCCTGGGCTGGCTGTCACCGACAGTGCTCAGCAGTAGCTGATGCCCCCTGGTCATTTGGTGCCCTACGCATGGTGCATGACGCATGTGGGCAGAGTGGCGGCGTTGGCCGAGTCTCTGTATGGAACCAACTCCATCATTATGTGGATGACACCACATTGATCGGACACATCTAGCACAATGATTAGTCTGAATACAGGCAGAGGTCAACCACTTGGCCACCTGGTGCCTTGAAATACTTTTTAACACAAAACGAAGGAGCCCATTGCAGACATGGAGGAAAGGAAAGGAGACACAATTAATTCTGTCCACAACAACAACACGGCTGTTGAACTTGTCTCCAGCTTCAAGTTCTTGGGGACCTTTATCGCTGAGAACCACATTCTGACTCCCAACGCGTCAAAAACAAACGCTTGGTCAGCCACCCTCTGCGTCAGACCCCTGACGCCAAAAGCGCCCTTTGTCGTCACTTATATGCGAAAAGTGGTTTTTCCCTTTTCTGACTGCAGATCCCAATGCAGCGTAAAACTGAGGAGATGGGATGTCCGCAGCCAGGGCAACAAACAAGCTCATTGTACCTCACCCTAACCTTATCCACTTATTTAACCTTCCCCTCACCCCCATCCTAACCTTACCATCTTGCTAGCTAACACGTTAGTGATGTGTCAGTCGCTCTAAAAGCCGGTGTCGGTACAGGATCTGCTCGGGTGCTAGATCGGCTCGGGGTCCTTCGACTGCTGATGACGTCAAAGTACGGCAAACCCACTCGGACAAAATATACTACACATCTATACTGTTGGAAAGAATTTAGCAGTTTCGTTATTAAAATAATGTTTCGTAAGACGTAAGTTTGTGTTTATAATGGTATTTGTAAAATAAAACACTATATTGTATTCATAATGTTGAACTCCTCTTTGAGCACATCCCCTGAAGGATCATAGGTATTAGCAACACCTGTAAAATTGTATTTGCAGGAAAGAAGTGTGTCCCGTTTATTGAAGTATTTTGTGTTTAGTTTTTGACATCTTGTCCATGCGTCATAGCTGCTAGCCAAAACTCTGGAGTTAAAAGTTCTGGCTTTACTAAAATACCTGTCTGTACTTATTTGATTGATGGTAGTTTTACTTTCTATTAGACTCCAAATGTAATCATTTGGCACCTTTCTAATTCATAATTTGTAAGAATGTAATCGGTGATATTAGCATTAGCATTCCTATGGGTTTTTCCATGTATATTAGAATTGCGCTAACCACTCGCTGCCAAATTGCAGCCTTTGAGATTAGAAAATCTCCTTTAATTGCACATACAAGTAATCGTTCAGCCCTAATATACATGCAGCTCTATGTTAAAAGTGTATTTTCAAAGAGGTAATGATGGATTTCTTTGTAAAAGCTGTCCATCTTTCCAACAGAAAAATTTGCCTGGACCAACGTAACATGATTGCGTAACTTCCGTAAGGTTCATGTTCACCACATCAACTACTTTGACATCATCGGCAGTGGAAGGACCCCGAGCTGATCTTGCACCCGAGCAGATCTTGTACCAACACCGGCTCTATGAAGTGAATGGCGGGAGCTGCCTCGTCATTGGTCGGGTTTGGACCGAGGCAACGCGAGGGGGAGGTTTCAACTACCACGGTGGAGGTTAAAAGTAGAGGGTATTTGTAACCTCTCCCTCGCCAGATGGTATGTTCTAACGTTCCCCTTGGGCGGCAAATACGAAAATTCACAGTCAGAATGAATGGGAAACAAACGCTTGATTACAGTGAGAGTAACGTTTTAGGTAGTAAGAGGGTTATATGGTTAGGATGAGGAAGAGGTTTAGGTGCGATTAAATGAGCTGGTTCGGTGCTGCATCTGCGGATATCCCATCACGTCAGTTTTACGCTGCACTGGGATCTGCAGTCAGAAAAGGGAAAAAAACCCTTTTCGCACATAAGTGATGAAAAAGGGCACTTTTGGCGTCAGGGGTCTGACACAGAGGGTGGCTGACCAAGCGTTTGTTTTTGATGCGCTGGGAGTGGGAATGTGTTTTGAGAACCTGACCCTGTCTCTCCAAAACAATAAATACAATGTCTTATCCAGTGTGAACAACCAAAACTGCACTTCAATAATCATAATGATAATAATAGAGATGTACATTTCTTAACCTCGATATTTTGAGGCTGGAAAAATTATTGAGTTCATTTTCATCTACCATACAATTAATTGATTTATTGATTATCGTCCCAGACCTAATCACCAATATTTAAAATATAATTAATCTGCAAAATAACCCAGATGGCCACTGGTTAAAGTCATTTGTAATGCTGAAATTAACAAGTGATTTAAAAACTATTATTCAGTATAACGTCATGCAAAAAGTGTTTATTATTGCAAGTAAATGATTTAATGCATCCAGAAAATAATCTTTGAGCACAGATGTACAGGTTGAAGTGGCAATGTTGGATCAATAAAAACTGAAGCAGTTCTGAAGGCCAGCCCGGGTCCAACTTGATGCTAGCAAGGTGTACATAATAATAATAATAATAATAATAATAATAATAATAATAATAATAATAATAATAATAATAATAATAATTGAAAAATAATAACCATCTGATCAGAAAAACGAGTAGTGACATAGGCACAAAACAATATTATTTGCGTTTGTTTGACAGGAAAAGATGGAGCTAATTTCATTTAAAAAATAAGTATATTTTTTATCAAATAAAGAATCTTACAAACTACGCAAAATCCATTTCCAGTTTCAGTTTGATGCGACATTCAGGGCTGACACGGAAATTTCTGCTTTTCTCCTCTGACATAAGATACTTACAGGAGTAACAGAAAACGATAAAAACATCCAGGTGAGATCCAAAGCAGCAATTATATAAACGATGTAGATAATTTTCATCTTCTTCTGCTGGTCTGTGGCGTTATTCGGAGAGGAAACCGGAGCATCTAACTTTTCTTTGGTCGTTTCACTTCCTTGATTCATTTTCAAGCTCCGTCATTAATTCCAACAGCAGGGAAAGGTTGCAGCTCGAGAACGTGTGAACTTGGAACAAGGATCAAATCCCGCTCGCTTACACGTCCTTTCACCTGGAGAACTTTCACAATAAACCCGTTTTCCACGTTGAACTTTGTAACTGAGTGGCCATAAAGAGGCGTTACTACGCTGCCACACGGTCAGAGATTAAAAAGTTTGGAAATGCAACCCAAAAAAGGACACGAAGACCCCGGTTAGAGCGGATTTTCCTGGTTTTAACTTGAAAGGGTGTTTAGTGAGTGATGCATTCATGAACAACCGCTGTGGTAGATTTTGTGAGTAATCCTGCTTTTAAGAAATTATTAGAACCTGCATTAGTGATTTTTTTCAAGAAACGGTTACATAGAGCCTCCTCAAGAAACATGAACGTATTATTTAATTATACTTTTAAAACTGTTAAAGAAAGTAATTGCGTAACATTTTGATTCCACGTAGGGTTCTTGAATGCATCATTTTTTCAAGCGACTACTTGAAAATGCCCAGACCAGCTCAGATGTACTTTTTTTTTAATAGGAATTGTTTCCGTGTAAACTTAATATCAAAAACGTGTGACTGATTACTAAAAAAAATCAAGATACTTTTTTCATATTTAGTGATTATCTTGATTATTTTAATTGAAAATGCTGATTTTGTGCAGCTTAGCCAAAGAGGGCTTTTGTCGCCCTATCGGCAGAATGCTGACAATATTTTTCAAAGAAAGTCAAGTTTATCTGCATGATACACCTGACTGCAGATATGAGATTATTGTGGTGTGAAGAGGGCGGAGTTAACCTCCGGGGTCCAGGTTACTGCACTGATGAGGACACGGGAAGAAAATGTTGTAATTTTTGAGCTAGACCAGTTTTAGTGTGGTCCATATGCTAAACAAAGTGCATACATTTGCCTTTTATTAAGTTTCACAAATCCCAGTGATGGTTTCATTTGTTCTGCTAGGGCAGAATAATCTAGTTCAGTTTTGAAATGTTTAGGTATTGTAGTTTTAAAACTACAGCTGTTTTCGTGTGGTCCAGATGCAGAAAGCATGCTAAACTTGGCTTAATTGAAGTCTCACTAATCAGAAAACAGTTTCACAAATCCCATAGGTGGTTTTAATTATTTTGCTAGTAATGCAGATTAAACTAGTCCAGGTTTGAACTGTCTAGGTATTGTAATTTTTAAACTAGAGCTGATTAAAAATGATCATAGTAGAGAAAATTTTAGTGCAATTGAGAATTGCCCTTTAAGCTTGTTCAATAAAGTTTTGGGGAAAAATTGCCCTTTAGCCATTTCCTGAATCGGAAGCCGGAAACGGAAACTAACTTCAGCCTCGTTCTGAAAAGGCTTTTATTTTGAAGTCCGTTCTGGCTCTTTTCCCGGATGTTTTCTCCACCGTTTTATTACGTCGGATGCGGACTTCGATTCATTAGTTTACGTAAAGTTTCACAGCCTCTCGTATAAATATCGGAAATCTGAGCTCAAACATGCAGATTCTGACTCCTCATGTCTACTGGGCTCAGCGGCACGGAGAGATTTATCTCCGGGTGGAACTGAGCGATGCTAAGGTACGAGGACACCCACCCACCGCTCCATCTTCCTGCTTTCACCCTTATGCCCCATCGTTTACTGCTGCTGCTGTAATATTAGTTAAAACGTAACTAAACCGTGTTTTCCAGCTCGTTTCAGTGTAACGTTTTTTATCGCGATATCTTGGCCAACGTACTAGTTATTCATTCTAGTGATGTTTTAGCTAAATGTGGCTAAATTTAGCTAAAAAATGATTAATGGTTGATTTAAAAAAACAAATATTTACATATTTAATCGCGTTTGATTAGAGCACGTTGTTAAAAAGTGTTAGCAGCCATTTTCCTGATTACTGTCAACCAACTGGATTAATTATTCATGACTCCCTTGTGTTTAGCTGCTAAGACTCTTACCTCTCGGTGATAATAATCAGTTATTTATTTCTGTTAAATGTCCGGAAAGTATTTGGTTTGCTTATCCACCTATTTTAGAAAAAGCCTCTTAAATAGAGGTTCCATGATGACCTGGAAGGGATACTATAGGTGTTGTTTATTCCTTATTGGTGCTAATAAAGAGCAGCTTCATTAAATAATCAAATAAAAGACAGTTTTAGTAAATATATATATATATATATATATATATATATATATATATATATATATATATATATATATATATATATATATATATATGTATATATATATATATATATATATATATATATATATATATATATGTATATATATATATATGTTATATTTCTAATGAATTATAAGACATAAAATAATGTTTTTCATTTGTTTATTTTATTTTTGGGTTCAAATTTTTATAAGTGATTCAAAGAAAAAAATACTCAAACCATGATGCCTCTCTGATTCGTGTCCAGCCTTTTGTGTAGAAAATCATATTTTCCAATTTAAAAGAAAGATTACATGAATCCTGTACAGAGTCAACAGATTCACCTGCATAAACAACCAAGCAGCTTACAGACATACAGCCAAACACATACCACACATGTTTACACACATACCTCTTCAGCACTGGTTTACATGCAGTCAGTTTGAAAATATTTCTAAAACAACATTTTCCTAAAGCGTGACCCGCATTACACATCTTCATGTGTTCTAGTGGTTTTATATTTACAGATCTGATTCCTTACATGAGTTCTGACTTTTTCACTCCAGATTAAACTGATGCTCTGAGTAAAACAGAAAACGGGACATTCTAGTATTAATGAGCTTCTCTCTGATGGGTTTTGCATACGCCTCAGTGCCGCATGTCACATGTAGTTTTGCATTAAGCAAAAACTACCTCAAGGCACACTCACGTTTGTGTTTAGGACCAGATGTTTACGTTCACTTGTCATCACCTATTTGCTGGGTTTAATGGTTGATTTGAATTGTGCTTATTGATGAATATACAACATGTATCTCAATTATTTTAATAACAAAAGATAGAAGGTTGACTTTTCATTATATTTTCTCTGTTCCACCCAGGATCTAATGTACACATGATGTCATCTTAGCTGCAGACTCATCTTCCTGCTTCTGTTGGACAAAAGTCCTTATTAAAGATGTATGAGCCTTTAAGGTAGTTCTGGATCCAGTTCGGCTTAGTGACAGCTGAATCGAGAGGACAGAAAAACACCTGTCAGCCTTACACGTGTTGTAATTATTTACATAAAGAAAGGAAAGCAAAAAAGTGAATTAGTAATCTCTATCATGGCCGTCTATTCAAATCAGCATTTCTATTAAAGCTTTGGACGGAAAAGGATCATCATTCCATTGATGCTGATTTCTTTCTTTGTTGCTCCAGAATGTAAATATCAGCCTGCAGGAAAGCCAAACGCTCCAGTTCAGAGGTTTGTGAAACAAATGAAGAATTTGTGAGAGTTTCTGTTAACTTTAGAAAGTTTCCACAGATTGTCTGTGTGTTTCTGCTCCTCTACAGCTCAGGGTCACGGAGCTAAAGGAGAGAACCCGTACACATTCAGCCTGGAGTTCCTGGAGCCAGTCAGACCAGAGGTATTGATCTTTATTATGTAACCTGTGGAGATCAAGCATGAGGCCAGAAATGTGTTGTTGCAGTTATTCTTTACTAATTTAATCTGTTTATTTATTTTTGAAGTTGAAGTTACTTGTTATTACTTGGATCGTGTTGCGAAGTGAACCTTTAAAACATGCTAACCTTTAACTAATGGGGCAGAAAGAACATGCTGTAGTTCTTGATGTGGTTTCCTGTCTTTTAAAGGTCAGACTTATTAAATCAGCAGTGAAAGCAGAAGTTCGTCAGATCATTCCAACCCACAGTTCTGCTCTTTTAGGTGTTAGAAAGATCATTTCTGTAGATCAGCAGCATTATGCATGCAGGAGCATCTGGTCTGAAGTAGTGTCATCCATTCATCTACCTTGCTCTTATTCATCAATGCCTCGTTTCCACTGAGCTGGGCTGTGCTGGTAGGTGTGCTGTTTTATGGTCCGACGTATTCTGGAAAGTGTTTCCACCATTTGGACATTCCGCAGGGAGGCGGGGGTTGAACCTAAAAGCCATCGTACAATGGCTACGACAAACACCACGCATTAAACTGTAACAACAATGGAGTCCAGACAGCAGGTTATTCTTGGTGGCATCTTCTTTCTTGTCTTTTACACACTGGTGTACAACAGGGTTTCTCAACCCAGGTCGTTGGCACCCCCCTGTCCTACGTGTTTTCCATGTTGCCCTTTCAAACACTAGTGTTTCTCTACTGCCACACACCTGCCTTAAACTAATGACTGATTAACAGGCTTCTGCTGCACTTGATGAGTAATTCTCATTTTTCAACATTCCCTTAAAGAATGTTTGATGTGTGTGTGTGTGTGTGTGTGTGTGTGTGTGTGTGTGTGTGTGTGTGTGTGTGTGTGTGTGTGTGTGTGTGTGTGTGTGTGTGTGTGTGTGTGTGTGTGTGTGTGTGTGTGTGTGTGTGTGTGTGTGTGTGTGTGTGTGTGTGTGTGTGTGTGTGTGTGTGTGTGTGTGTGTGTGTGTGGTCATGCATACGCTGACAAAAATGTAACTTTTACTTTGTGTACATTTTATTTACGCTATGTTTTGCTTTTACTTGAGTAAATATTTAGGCAAGTACTTTTACTTGCACTTGAGTAAAAAAATCATCAAAGTACTAGTACTTGTACTAAGTAGGAAATGTTGGTGCTTTTTACACCTCTGGTTGTATGGACCATTTTTAAAATAGAAACTGAAAAACCAGCGTACCATACCGCACACTGTAGTGTCCTCTCTTTGGACTTCAGGCCACAGTCAGTGAAGGTCCATGGTGTCTCGTCTTCCACCATTGTACTCGAACTTTAGATCTCCACAAGGATGTGTCCTGGGCCCCCTGATGTACACACTAGTCAATTTGGGATTGTTCAGCTAAATGTCCTGGAGATGATGTTATAAAGTTTTCAGGTGATACTGCCATTGTTACTTTAATCTAAACAATAATTCTGAGTGTGGGATGGAGGTGGAGCATCTTCCTAATTGGTGTAGACTTTACACCAATCAGAAAGCTCCTCCCCAGCAACCTCCACCAGTGGGACTCCAAGTCGTTCTCTGGCCAGGAGCTGCTCTACATTGTAGAGCAAACAACCTAAATGTTAATAATGTGCTTTTTTTATTCCGTTGTTTTTAAAGCTGTTTTTTGTTTACAAGAATTTCCCTAGAGGGGAATAATGAACTCCCTTTCTTCTTCTGTTCAATTAGATCAGCCATAAGTCCACTCAGCGTCAGGTGGACATCAAAATCAAGAAGCAAGAGGAGCGCTGGTGGGACCGTCTGACGCTGCAGGAGAAGAAACCTCTGTTTCTGGCTCCAGACTTTGATCGTTGGCTGGAAGAGTCGGACGCTGAGATGGAGATACAGACCAAGGCAAGATCTATTCTGTAATGATCTTCTCGACTACAGCAGCAACACAGTCCAATGGTTTTATACTGGAGAGGGATTTTTACCTCCTGATCCTGCCAGCGTGTTTACAGTCTGTCCTCCTACAAACCCCCTCAGCATCGCTCAGATTTAGGTTTGTAACGTACGCTTTTGTTTTCAGGAGGAGGAGAAGCTGAACAAAATCAGCATAGAGTCAAGAGTTCGTAAAGACCGTAAGTTAAACCTTCCTGCAAAATGTAAGAAACTCATACTTTTTCCTTTAAAACTGTATTACTTATGTTATCGTGGTGAGTATTTTGGGGTGTATTTTTGCTGTTGTTTAATCATTTATTTTGATTGTATTTTATGTTTCCTTTGTGTCCTTAGCCTACCTCGGGCTGAAGAAGGGCTACTTGTTTATGTACAACCTTGTTCAGTTCCTGGGATTTTCCTGGATCTTTGTCAACATGACTGTCCGACTCTTTATCCTTGGTCAAGGTTGGTTTAAACAATCTGTTACATCACAAATAGAAGTTTGTTCATTATCACTTATCCGGGTCACGGGGCTACCAGCCCGTCCTCTCCCCAGCAACCTCCACCAGAGGGACCCCAAGGCGTTCTCTGATAAGGAGATACAACCCTTTCTTTGTGTCCTGGATTAATCCAGGGGTCTCCTGCCCGTAATGTCCCACCCTCGTTTTGGCTGCTCGTATTTGCAATTTTGTCCTTTTGATCATTACCCAGAAATGAAGATCACACGATAAATTAAGAACTTTGCTTTCTGGCTTAGCTCCCTCTTCATAAGTGCAGGTGTTGCCCTGATGGACTGGTCCATCTTCTGCTCCTGCCTTCTCTCATTCCTGACAATGACATCATGATAATTAAACTCCCACACTTGAGGTAGGACCTCTTCCCAAAGCCAGAGTTGGCGGTCCACCCACCTCCAATCAAGAACCATGGTGTCTGATTTGCGGGTGCTGATCTTCCTCCCAGCTGCTTCACACTTCGCTGGGATGAGGATCTCTCCAGCAAGAGCTGCAGGTCATAGTCTGATGGAGCTAAAAGGGCAGTTTTATTTGCAAATGCCAGAGACGAGATCCTCCTGCCAACAACCTCAGCACCTAGACTTTCTGTACATGAACTAAATGAAATGAACTGGAGACAAAGGCAGCTCTGGTGGAGTCCCATCCGCTTCATGAAACAGTCCAAGTTGCAATCGATACAATCAGTATTACACCGCTGGCACCATTTTGTCCTAAAGGATCCAGAGGATCCCACACCAGTCCCCCTAAGCTGCAAGAACAGAAATGATGAGTGTTCTGGACATTTACAGCTGGATCATTAATTACTGGGTTGTTTTGTTGGATATTTATGAAACACAGAAAAGCTGGATGTGAACCAGGATCATGGTTGGGTAAACAACAAACCGGAGGTCCAGAGAGCGCAGCAACGCGTTTGTGAGGAGCTATTCACAGACAAGCTTATTTGAATAGAAACAGGAAGACAACAACAGACGGGATTTGTTTTGCAAATGATAACGGTTTTGGATAGTAGCTGATCATGGCTTGTTTTGCCTCCACAGACTCGTTCTACGACACCTTCCACACCACAGCGGACATGATGTATTTCTGTCAGATGATGGCTGTGCTGGAGGTCATTAATCCCTTACTGGGTCTGGTCAGGACTGGGGTTTTCCCTGCTTTAATACAGGTAATAACCACAAGATGGGCTTTCTGCGTATACTTGCCCTCTTCATCAACATGTTTTAACAAAGGTCCATTTTGTAACTTTTAAAATAATCAATCAACTCTCAAATTACCCTGGAAACAGACAGAAAGCCACTGGAGAGTTTGTGTTCCTATGCTGATAAGACTGATTCAGACCCCTACAGAGTCTTTAGCACGAGTGAAGACGAGCTTTATAGATGTCTCCATGTTTTTGAAAAAGAAATCCGATCCAGAATACCTAAATAGCTGAGTAATTCTCATTTTTCAACATTCCCTTAAAGAATGTTTGATCTGAAAACAGAAAACGGGTTAAAGTGAGAATGTGTTGGACTGTTCAGGTCATGTAAATAAAACTTTGTCAGGCAGCCCTCACCCGGTATCTGGACTAGGGATGCACGATATATCGGCCGATGTTGTAATTTTTTATCAAATCGACATCAGTCCAATATGAGAAACTGTGCCGATATTACCGACAATTTTTTTCCATTTTGTTTTTGTTTGTGTATCCGTTTCAGAGGGTGAAGGTGTGATGATGTGTTATTGTTTAGTCATGTGACAGTGATGGTAATCATTTCAGAAGCGTGTGTGTGTGTGTGTGTGTGTGTGTGTGTGTGTGTGTGTGTGTGTGTGTGTGTGTGTGTGTGTGTGTGTGTGTGTGTGTGTGTGTGTGAATTAACAAATTTTGTTTGCAACCAGTGGCCCACATTTGTGGGAGTATTTTGTAGTATGGTATCTCATAGAAAATGCTGATTCTGAAAGGAAACTAAAGGTTTTCAGACAAATGTAGTGGAGTGGAGTGTACTCATTTATGCTGAGCGCTGTTTTCCTAACAAGTTCATTCAAGCCCATGTTGCAAAAATGAGTGCACGCCATTTATAGTCTTAGGACAGGGATTCCCAGTGTGGTGCCCGGGGGGTGCGCGAGCTGCCGCTAGGGGGTGCGCGAGGTGAAAAGTGCAATGGCTGCGGAGCTCAGAGAAGTCTGTCACATGTCACCATTAGCGTAGAAACTCATTTGTGGGTGGGCCAAAGAAAAAGTAAGTGGGCACAATAAATGTAATTGAAAACAAGTATATTTTTGCGCGCGCGTGTGTGAGTGTGTCCTCCACATGTGCCTTGCTTCATAATAACAATGCGCCGAGCTTCAGCACTCTGGCCTGCGCACGCCGATATGTTCCGTATTTGATCATTTTTAACGGTGTTGGAGAAATCTGAAGGTGAGTCATTCTGGCAGATTGTAATTAACACCTGTCTCATGCAGGTGTTCTGACATTGCAAACCTCACACACAGAACATTGTGGATGTAACAAAATCAATCAATCAATCATTCAGGCTATTAACAGCGCGCTGAAGATCTGAAGTTCAGAGTGCGTCTGTCAGAGGTCAGACGCGTTCCAGCGGAACCACGGCTCACGGGTGCACATGTGAGCACACCTGGGCTGGGCAGAAGTCATTTTACAACATTGGTTTAAATAGCGCCAATAAAGAGACGCGGTGACTTGAGCGGCTCATGGAGCTGTGCCGCCCGCGCGCGCGCGCACACACACACACACACACACACAGATTGAATAAGCGCGCACGCTGCGCAAACTCCGGCGTGCCGTCAGACTGAAGACAGAAATGAGCGCTGCCTCCTCTGTGATAAAAACTTTTAAGAGGTTTTATAACAACATTTTTCATTCAAGGTCAAATTAAGATATTAGCTTCTATTTTGGGATGACGTATTAAAGTCGAGTCCGCTCCAGCCAGTGACTCCTCATGAACATGACCACAACTCATGTTACTGCAGCATTTGTTATTCCAGTCCACGTGACAGCGGATCGCAGATTCAGCCACATCATTAAACAGCAATAAGTCGGTCTGACCCCGGGTTTCCACCGGAGCTGTCAGCAGCACGTTACTGCAGCAGCACGTCTTGCTCACGTAAGCTGCTGCTTGGCCCTTCCCACGAGACGCGAAGCAGCAGGGGAGCAGCTGTCACCGACAGAGCACGAAGTCACACGAGTGACTTCGTCAGTAAACACAACAACAAGCAGGAGAAAACTACAACATGGTTTGTGTTTTATGTTCTGTCCGTTTTATAATCGCCAATACGGACCTGAAAAACAAAGGAGACCGCTAGCTAGGTGATAACTTCTCACTGGGCCGCACAGTTAGTAACTGTTTTTAAAAGTAAAGCAACTGGAACGCAGTACGTTCTTTATTCTGAAAATCTCGGGAGCTTCTCTCCATTTCCGCGTTCGATTTCCTGTCTTTCCTTCCCCAAAAATGTCGAACTTGACCCGTTTCAGAGGCGTCGCACGTAGAAAATAGAACCGGCGCGTAAAGGCCGCGACATGCTGCTTCTGAGACGCGGCCGACTCGCGCTGCTGACAGCTGCCGACGGCTCCGGTGGAAAAGGTTCTGTTGACCACAGCGGTTCCTATCAGCAGCTATGACGTGCTGCTGCAGTAACGTGCTGCTGACGGCTCCCGTGGAAAGCCGGGGTGAGGTAAAAGTGAACCTCATGGCTATATCTTTTCCATCTTTTCCCCTATAGATATTTGATTATGCACAAGTAGGTGATCAGCTCAGGTTTACGCAGAGCAGAAGGAAGGAGAGCGCTCTGGCCGCACAGGTTAAATGTTCCTACATTAAGAAAACTGTTAAATTGCATTGTTTATGTGCTACCTGGGCACTCTAAATATTTATTTAAAATTAAATCAAAGGAAATTGTAATGGTATCGAATGTTTATTAATTACTATTTAAAAAATGAAAGTGATGGGGAAAAAGGTCGATCATATTTTTTAACCCTGTGTGTTTAGCTTGACGTCTGATATATATATATATATATAGCCATGCCCTGATGTGGGGGCTGGGGGGGTGCGTCGACATGGTCGGGACATAGAAGGGGGTGCGCGGCTAAATAAGTTTGGGAACCACTGTCTTAGGAGAAAAGCCACACTTAAGACTACAAAATTCAAATGAACAGGCATTCAACCACAGGTGAGTCTAATGATTTATTTAAGAGGTGTCCAGCCGACAGGTGACTATAAAAAGACATAACTTAAGAAAGAAAAGCCCTTCCCATGTCATGCTGTCAGCAATGGCTCCACATGGAAAAAAATGTCACAAAGTCTGACAAAGGAAATAATTTCTTTACACAAAAAGGTGAGGGCTGCAAGAAGATCAGCAACACTTTACTTATCAGTCAGAATGCTGTAGCAAAAGGGATCCAACTATTTAAGGAAGATGGAAGTGCAACCATCTTAGAGAGACGTCCAGGCCGTCCATGGAAGTTAACATCTGCACCTGAGCGTCTTCTGATGAGAAGGGTTGAAGAAAATCACCATGCAAGTTCACTGCAGTTAACTAAAGCAGTAGGAAGCCAAACTGGAGTGATCGTTTCCCATGACACCATACGGCACACACTGCAGAGGAATGGCATACATGGGTATCATCCAAAAAGGAAGCCTCTCCTAAAGCCCATGCATAAAAAAGCATACCTATTAGCTAGGACCCATGCTGAAAGAGATGAAGGCTACTGGGACTCTAGACTCTGGAGTGATGAGACAAAGATCACTGTTTTTGAAACTAATGGTTTCAGAACTGCATGGTGTCGTAAACGTGAGGGTTTCAAAGAAAAATGCGTGGTGCCTACAGTGAAGCGCGGTGGTGGTGGTGTACTCATGTGGGGTTGCATGAGGGCTACTGGTGTCTGGGGAGCTGCAATTCATTGATGGTATCATGAACTCAACAATGTACTGCTCTATACTGAAGGAGAAGATGCTGCACGTGGTCGTCGTGCACTTTTTTCAACACAACAATGGTCCAACACACACACACCTAAAGCTACTGTTGCATTTCTGAAGAACAGGGTGAAGGTGACTGAATGACCAAGTATGTCTCCTGATCTGAACCCAATCAAACACCTGTTGGGAATTCGGAAGCAACAAGTTGAGCATCACTCTCCATCCAGCATCCAGGCTCTAAACGATGGTCTTCTTGAAGAATGGAAAAAGATAGATGTTGCAATATGTCGCCAACTTGTTCATTCCATGCCTAGAAGACTTGGTGCTTCCCTTGAAAATCATGGTGGTCATACAAAATACTACATGTAGTAGTTTTTGTTGTGGGGTGTACTCATTTTTGCTTCAACCAATTTTAGTTAAACTGAAGATTTTGTGATCTAAGTTTTATTATTAACCTTAATTTCATGTTATGGAGTTAAACAAGTGTTCAATAAAACCCAGTCTCGAGAAACTTCTGGAAATTGTTCTTTTGTTCATTGAGCTTCTGATTAAATTCATACTTTATAAAGGGGGCTTAGGTACTGTTCCAATCCTAAGTATGTTTCGTGGCAAGTATGCTCAAAGTTCCCAGATGTGTTCATGCTCCTCCCATTGTATCAAGGACACATCTGTATGCGGACTTTGGCCACTAGGTATCCCATAATGCATTGAGTCACAAACCATTACACCCCAAATGGAAAGTAAGAGAGAATAAAGCTTGTAACTAAAGTGTTCTTATATAAAAAATACAAATTATTAGGTCTAAATAAATCAATATGAAGTTGTCTATTATTGTAGATAATGGTGGGTAACTTTTAACATTTGTTGTATGTTTTTTATTTATTTTTTAGGGGTTTTTTTTCAGACTCTACGATCCCTCATCAAGCTAATTAGCTGACCCACTGTCAAAACCAAACCAGCGTTAATTTTTTTTTACCATAGCACACCATAGTCCTCATCCTCCCGTATTCGGTAGAACGTTCTGCTGTACCTGCTAAGAACGTACTTGTACACAAGAACGTACTTAGGGCTTCCTGGTTTGAGCAAATGTTCTGCTCTGTGTTGTTGCAGGTAGCAGGGAGGAATGTCATTTTGTTCGTCATCTTCGGCAGCCTGGACGATATGCAGAACAAACCTGTCGTGTTCTTTGTCTTTTACCTGTGGAGCACCATCGAGATCTTCAGGTCTGCTCCAGTCATCTTCCTCCCCTTTGCTGGGTAGCCCATGCTGTTTACCACCAACTCCTCTTCTCCTGTGTCAGATACCCCTTCTACATGCTGGCCTGCATCGGGACGGACTGGCCGATGCTGACCTGGTTCAGGTATAACCTGTGGATCCCTCTGTACCCGCTGGGGGTTGTAGCAGAAGGTATGTGACCTCCTGAGCTAACAGCATGAGTCTGAAGAACCACACGTGTGAAGTGAAAGTGAGCTGTGTTGTTTCCAGCCGTGGCTGTGATCCAGTCCCTCCCCATCTTTGATGAGACGCGTTTGTTCAGCATCCCACTCCCCGCTGGACTGGGACACTCTCTGAGCTTCTCCTACACACTGCAGCTCTACCTGGTCCTCATGTTTCTGGGTGAGAACTTTATTGTCACTTTATCTGTCCAATAATGTTCATGTTAGTGATGAGTAGCCTGTGTGAACCTGTGCCTTTGCTCATCACCTCCTATGAGACTAACTGTGAGGTTCTACCTTCCTCCAGGACTCTTCATTAATTTCCGACACCTCTACAAGCTGAGACAGAGACGATACCGGCTGAGGAAACGAAAAGCCCACTAAGTGATTGTTCCCTTGGTGCTGAAGCAGATGTGCTCTTTCACTCTTATTCCCACTTTTTCCTTTACTTTTTACCCCTAAACACCGAGCTGATGATGGAGTCACTTTACTTTTCCACCGAGCTGCGGTTTCTGGAACAGGTTCAACGTTCCTGCTCTGAGTTTCACTTGTTTGTTTAATCAGTTTTCTGCATGAGTCCATCCAGGATGTGAACACACACACACACACACACACACACACACACACACACACACACACACACACACACACACATGCATATAATGTGCTCTGGTAATGACAAAAAGGTGCTGAAAAGGAACATCTGGGCTAGGAACCTCTGATGCATCAAAGACACTGTGAAGTGTCAATAGCAGCAGCAGCTGTTAGCTTCTACTCAGCAGGACAGGTGAGCTATCAGGAGCAGGTAAGATGATTATTACTTCAGAAGGGCCAAAGCCACCCTTTCAGATTAGTGGTGTATTTTAGCTCTGAGCTGCAGATGACTCATTCATTCATGTGTTTTCATACAAAGCCATACACACGACTGAAGTGAGGATTACTTTCAACCCTTTGCGTCATAAAGGCTTACTGTTGATGCCTTTAACCCTTTAATATCTGATGTTTTTCTTATTTCCATATCTGTTTGTTTACCTTTCAGTCTTGATGCAACTCATTATCATGTTGTTTCTCAGAATATTTTAACAAATTACTGAAATTATTCTTTTTCAATAAAAGTTTGGTTTTAAAGTGACAATGTGTAGTTTTTACCATTAATCTCTGGAAATATCCAGCGAAATGTTATTGTAAATTAATTAAAAGATTCCCAGTAGTTGACAAATATTGGCAGTTTCATAACATATAACCATAAAAATCTTTTCTAAAATACACAGGAGTGGGTCTAAGCCTGTGGGCGACGCCATATTGGTTTCCATGTTTCCTTCTATGGAAGCCGGTGAGGACAAAACACATTAGCTGATTTGTAACAAACGGTTAAAAAACTTTAACCAATAATAAATGTTGTTGTTTTACACATCTACCTTTCACTCGTTGCCAGGGATGAAAGGAAATCTGATGTGCTTGTCATTTTTGACCCTATTGGCTATCCGTTGGTAAGGTCTTATTTGAACACAAAAATGCTTGCTTGCGATGATTCGGGTATGTACTGCCCCCTATCGCCAGTGAAAATACACACTGTCACTTTAATCTATTTAACATAAAAGATTTATAATGAAGAAATGGCCTTTAAGCTTAGGGTACCACACCTTTAATGATGCAGATCTTTGCTAACTGCCTGCTGTTTATCCACTATTGTTATCATTTATTAAACGGAACCTCAGTGGAACAAAAGACTTATTTTCATTTAGTTTTTTTTTCACATTTCCACATGTTCTGCCTGCCTCTGTCCCAGTTTTATTTGTGACCACATGTCCAGAGCTGAGTGACTTTTTAATATAGAGCCTCTATATTTATTTTTGTCCTGGTTTAATTTTAAAAGCTCCTTTCTGATTGTTTTATAACATTTGCACAACTGCATGTGTTTATGTTAGAACTAATGCTGTTAGACTTGAGCCAGTGTGTGTGAATCCTTTCCGTTCACTTCTTGAATAAATTGAGTATTCCAAGAATATTTGTAGTTTTTCACGTCTCTGTGCGTTATTTTTGTTGTTTTGTTTAGGCTGGAGGTTCAGATGTCCAATAATATTTAAAATAAATTTGCATCAATAACTATTTTTCATGTATGAAAAAAGTAGAAATCCGTTTCAGATATATGAAGAGTTAAAACACCATTTCTGTTGTCATCATTTCAGTCCTGTAGATGGAGACATTGTCAATCGTTGAATTTGGACATTCATAAATCGTTTAATTGGTAATAAAAACTCTATGCGTGTCCACACAGCTGACACAAGTCCCCACGGAACCGGTCCGAGCCAAACCGAATGGGTCGCATTATTCCTCCACCTTGGGGCTGTCGGTGCTCCACCTGGATCAGGTGATGTGTGCGGCTGCTGCTGCTTCATTGATACCGGCGTTATGAGTGGATGGGACAGAGAGGTGCCTCGGTGTTCCTAATCCTCTTAGCGGTATTATGCTGAGCCTCGTTCCTGCGCTGTCATGCGGTGCGCCCTTCTGGTCTCCGTAACAGCCGGAGTCAGCATCTCTGCGTCCGTTACGCACAGCTTGAGGGACGGCGGAGCGGTCGGCTGTCCTGGTGAGACGCATAAATAACATCTATTAGCGTTTCTGACTACATGGGGGTGGCGGTATTCTGATCAACGATTTGCGCAAATTTTGCGTCATAATCCGCGTTATTTGTAATATTTGGCCCCATAATTAAATCCTACGCGTCGCGCTCTTTTCGTTGCATTTCTGCACAAACCTGGTGAACAGGTTGTGTTGTTGGTTAAACTTTGCATTGCGACGTGTTATTTGCTCTGGGTGTCGCACTAGAAATGTATAAATACTTCTGAATGTGTCTGGGTTATAACTGTTGTTCCGCTTTCTACAAGATGTTTCATATTTTGTTGGAATCTAAAGCTGGAGTACTTATGTAGCCATAGCAACAGGTGGCTGTCTGCATCCTCCATCAGCCCAAACACTCCTCTCTCCCTCCTGCATGAGAGAGTACAGACAAACGCTGTGATTTGCATCGTTTTCTCTTTTTCTTCCCCCGCAGGTTGAAGCTGCCTGCTGTAGACATGAAACACACTTTGCACCTGATTCTTCTCCATTAGTGGCATCTTCCAGCCACAGAAGGGTGCAGGAGGAATCAGGGAATGCATCTGACATAACTTCCTGTTGGGAGTCCATGAAAACATGCAGTCACCTCATAGGAGGGGACTCAGGCGCCAGCGCCTCCTCTTCTTCATCTCAGGTGTGGTACTGTGTTTCGTCTACATGCTGAGTCTGAAATCCAGGCTGTCGTGGTCACAAGCCTCCATCCAGACTGATGGACCTGCTGCAGCAGAAGGTGTTGTGGAGGTCAACATCCGGGAGGTGAGGGCATCCAATAACACTGAGGAGGAGCAGGAGGAGGTTCCTCCTCATGTGATTCTTGTCAACAGGACAGATATTGAACAGTGCATCTATGTGGATCATCAGCCTCCCAGACCACCTCCAACATCTCCACCGCCAAGCACCACAGCTCTGCCCCTCCACCCACTCCAGCCTCCTCACATGGAGGGGGACTACCCACAGGACATCTTCTCAGTGGAGCAGAGAAGACAAGGCTGGGTGGCCCTGCACGTTATAGGCATGACCTACATGTTTGTCGCTCTGGCCATAGTTTGTGATGAGTTCTTTGTTCCAGCCCTAGAGGTCATCACCAACAAGCTGGAGATCTCAGACGATGTGGCCGGAGCCACCTTCATGGCAGCTGGAGGCTCTGCCCCAGAGCTCTTCACCTCCCTGATTGGTGTCTTCATCTCCCACAGCAACGTGGGCATCGGCACCATCGTGGGCTCAGCTGTCTTCAACATCCTGTTTGTGATCGGAATGTGTGCCATCTTCTCCAGGGAGATGCTACACCTGACCTGGTGGCCGCTCTTCAGGGACGTGACCTTCTACATCCTGGACCTCATCATGCTTATCGTCTTCTTCTTGGACAACACCATCCTGTGGTGGGAGAGCATATTGTTGGTGCTGGGCTATGTCAGTTATGTAACCTTCATGAAGTTCAACAGTCAGATTGAGCAGATGGTCAAAAGCCAACTCAACAAGCACATGAGCATCGTGAAGGTGTGGACCTCAGAGGAGCCAGCGAAGGTCAGTCAGCAGCTCACTAGTATGTTGATCTGAAGAGCGATAAGGAAACATTTTTAAACATCAGATTACCTCTTTCTGAAACATTTATACATATTCTATTGGGGCACAGTGTTCTGAACCAGACCAGATGTCTGTGTGGACTAGATGTTTCCAGACAGACTTTGGTACAGTTTCATTCTTTCATCTTCTCTGCCGCCTGCTCACACACACTAGCAGAGCTGCAGCGATGTGTGCGTCTGAGCAGGTGACAAGCCTCCGATTGTGTAAAATCCTTTGATGGTGTCGAACTAAAAGGACTCCAGGTGTTGTAGACAGTGCAGTGGTGAAAATGTCACTGTTTGTGTTACCAGCCCCAACGTCCCACTGTACAGACGTGAGAAGCAATTCACCATTATTCAAAGCATCCTCAAACAGAGAAAATCAAAGGCTGGTGTCCTGCAGAGTAAACCGACAATATCTGAATGTTTAATAAACATGTAGAAATGTCTTTTTGGTCATTCAAGTAGTGGAAACAAGCAAACTAGTCAGAGAGAATCGTGCCTGAAGCTAGCTCTGTTTAGTTTCACCTTGATGCACAGTATTGAATGTATAAGCGATTCAAATAAGTAAATATAAAAGGCAAATCCAACAAAAGTAACCAGTAACAGAAAGGAAATACAGTTCCTCTTTACTGTTTGGTGTTTGTTCTAAAAACGTTTGAGGTAATCAGTCATTTGACTTGATTGGTGACCACATACTCTGTTTTTAAGGGTTAGGGTTAGAATCTGTATTTGTCCGTAAAGATTTATACTGTCCTCTGCTGGAGACAAGCTGTTACATTCGGAGACAAGCTGTTACATTCATAAATTAAACCTGTACATTCCTTCAAAATAAAGCATCACTTAAAGATGACTGCGACTTTCAAAGATAACGGGGAAGCTAGAATGTCTTCGCTTATACAAACTACTACACTCAATAAATAAACTTTAATTGTCTGTTCAAATCAAACAGCTACTGCTGGAGCTATTAGCAACTCACTACAGCAGTACAAACACGCCAGATCATACGCCCCCGGGCGGCCACAGGGCAAAACTAAATCCTCGGTTGAATTAGAGGGATTTTATTCATAATAAATTCAATGAAGTTATTAATGGGTCATATAAAATGAATATATTTAGTTACAAAATGTTACCTGCAAACTTTTGCCATTTCTAATAAAATGTGTCAGATATAAAACTATTAGTTATTTGCTCTACTTGTATTTTTTATCTTCAAGAACCAGTCTTCCTGTTCTCCTTTGACATCAACAAGACATTTTCATCCACACAGCTGCAACTAAATGGATGTTTCCTCTTTTTGTTTCTGAAATACTCAGATCAAACTTCCTTCTTGAACCTCAGCAAGTCATTTTCACTTCATGTCTAAGTGCATTGAAACGCTGCCTCGACTGATTAAATGTGTGTGTACACATAATTGTACCTAATAAACTGGCCAATGAGTTTACTTTAGTGTCTAAACTACAGTTTAGAAACATATGTGTCTGTGGAGCACTTTGTTGTGTCTAGCTGTGAAAAGGGCTATATAAATAAACCTCTAATTAAAGGTGCATTATGTAGAAATTAAGTAAAAATGACATCCTGGGGTAAAATGTGGTTACTGCAAACACATCAAACAACTCTAAGTTTTTGCCTGTCTTTGTCAAATTACAATTGTCGGTGCTGCAGTATTAGCTTGCAGGAGACACGGCACCCCCACACTCACTGATGGTAAACAGTAGTTACGTCCCTCCTAACCTTGTTTTGAAAGGAGACAAACTGACAATCCCAGCAGCCAGCTGGATATGAGATATGTTACAGTATAACCAAACCTTCCTTTCAAAATGACTGAAACATTACTCTTTTGGGATTTTCTCACTGAGCTGTGGAACTTCAACTATATTCTCACATACTGCACCTTTAAATTTGGCACTGAAACAATGTTTATGGGTCTTTTCTTGGAAACAGAAACATTAAATGAATGTATATAACTGTCACACACACACACACACACACACACACACACACACACACACACATTTAAAAACACAAATTGTTGCCAATCAGAACATGTTTAAATGTAAAACTGTTTCTAATTTAACAGGACAGCGAGCCTGCACCTCCTCTTCATCCTCCACCTCCACTGCCACCTCCTGCTCCTGTTTCTGCTGCTCCACAAAAATCTGAAAGCAAATCCAAACCTGAAGCTGCTGCACCTCCTGGAAGCCTTCAGCAGCCAGACACACAGGAGGACAGAGCTAGGCTCCGGGTATGAAACCTGCATCATGGAGGAGAAAATATAGATTACTATGATTTCATCAAACTCCTTTTATCATTTGGACCAATCTCAGTCATAAAGCGCAGACATAGTGTCATGCAAAAAGATTCATACTCCTTGAAACTTTGCATATTTTAGCTCCTTCCAACCACAAACTTGTTTTTGTTTATATTTTCTGTAATAGACAACACAAAGTACCACAGTGCAGTGGAAAAAACTGACAAGGTTTTCAAAGTTTCAAGCAAATAAAAATCTGAAAAGCGTGGCATCAGCGTTAGACGTCAGCCCCCTCCTGCATCAATACATTGTAACTATACCTTTCAGTGCAATTGCAGCTGCAAGTCTTTGGGGGTATGTCTCTACCAGCTTTGCACATCTAGAGACTTCAACTTTTTCCTATTATTTGCTGCAAAATAGCTCAAGGTCACCCAGAATGGATGGAGAGTGTCTGTGTTTATCAGCTGAAAACTCACCTGTTCAAGCTGGCTTTTGTATGACCCTCTTCACCACTCTCTCCTTAATCTGCTCTCCCTACCTATTCCACCTTCCTCAGGATCCACTGATTTCCCTCTTTCCTGTTCACTCTCTCTCTTTACATTTTTCATCACAGTTTATCTATTTTTGCTCATTTTAAATATATTTTAATCATTTTCTAAATTATTTTTTATATTTTACATATTTTGCTTTTATGAAGCTCCTCGTGATTTTTATCTTGACAGGCACTATAGGAAAGATCTTCTTCTTCTTCTTCTTCTTCTTCTTCTTCTTCTTCTTCTTCTTCTTCTTCTTCTTCTTCTTCTTCTTCTTCTAATATCAAGTCTTGCCACAGATGCTCAGTGGGATTTTAGTTGGAATGTTGACAGGGCCATTCTAACACATGAGCATTCTGTGATCTAAACCATTCTGTAGCTCTTGCTGTGTGTTTAGGCTCATTGTCTTCCTGGGAGGGGAATCTCCTCCCCTGTCTCCAGTCCTTTGCTGTCTTTGGCTCCTTCAACTCTAACCATCTTCCCTGTCCTTACTAAAGAAAAGCATCCTCGCAGCATGATGCTGCCTCCACCATGTTTCTCAGTGGGGGTGGTGTGTTCAGGGTCATTCACAGTGCAACCTTTTACACCACACACAGCACATTTAGGCCAAAAAGTTCCACTTTTGTCTGGTTTGGCCTTCTTTCACATGTCAGCCATGTTTCCTACATGGCTCCTGGCAAACTGCAAAAGGGACTTTTTTATTTCATTCTGTCAACAATGGCTTTCTTCTCTATTTACTCTTCCAGATAGTCCTTAACCCTCTCAGGCTCAAAATAAGTTTTGATAAAGGATGAACAACTAAGTCCTTCAGGGGTACTTCTGAGTTAAAAACAATGCTCATGAAATACATATGTGGAGTAAACAGGTAGATAGGTTTTGATGTTGCTAATCTGCAACACCTGCCTCCAGAGGGTTAAACAAAACAGCTAAGCTGGTGGCTGTAAGGTGTCAAAATTTGATACTTCTGCAAGGTACTTTACATTTATTTTCTTTTATTTAATGTGGTGCTTTACTCATTAGTTCAGTGTTCCAGAGGTAGGTTAAATGCTGTAAACTCATCCTCTCTCCTGCAGGTGCATCCCGTGTTGCAGCGAGGGGGCAGCTCGGCTTCCCTCCACAACACCTCCCTGAGGAGCACCATCTTCCAGTTGATGATCCACACTCTGGACCCCCTAGGAGAAGGTGAGTCACAGAGATGTCTACATGGTTCATATGCCATCAAACAGTCAGATTCAGCAGGTTGAGCCCTGATGGGGGTCCGTCTTTGCAGAAACATAACACCATTTCAAATCTGGCTCAAAAACATTTAGAAAAAAATGTAAGTTTCTCTTCAACTCTACATATATTCAGTCAAATTCAGACATTTTGGGAGGATTGCAAACCTCTCATGGCTTTTAAAGAAACTCTTATTTATTTTTTTAGGCTTGCTGTAAAATCGTAAAACACACCCATTTCCTAATATTTGTATTAATGGAAGTTAGCAGGCTGAGGTCAACCAGTCTTCTAATGTGCTCTGCTGCTGTTCTCCATCATCACAGTGCTTCACTACCACTGATCCTTAATCAGCTTTTCAATACAGGCTAATAAAAGCTGGATCAGCTCACACCAACGCTTTTAACTGTGTAGAACCAGCTGACTCTGTGCAGCTGGAGCGTGTACTACATTATAAATCTATGGAGGCTTGTAATTAAAACTCCTAAAAGTTCACGTGTGGAGAAGCTGTCACTGTGCTGGTGGAGCAGAAAGAGCAGAGGACCTATTCACCTCATCGGTATAATGCTTTGAAATAAATTCTACATTTCAACCATCAGTAAATTATTTTTCACACTAAATTTTATCATTGGATCCAAACAATAAAAATATTTTTTTCATTATCCAGATTTGATTACTTCAACAAAAATACACGAAAAATGTTTTATGTTTAAAGTCTTTAAAAACAGCAAGCACTCACCAAAATTCAGAGCACAAAATATATAAAAAACACTAAACAGGACAAAATACAATAACATAAATTAGTGAAAGGCAAAAGGCTCTAAGGCCTTTCTAGTTTGTCCCAGCAGAATTCCATGTTTTGGGACAGCAAAGGCCCTGTCCTCCCTGAGCTCACGCTTTGACAAGTTGTTTTTGTTTTTTGTCTTAAATAAAAGAAGCTTGATCTGACTGTCCTACATAAAATCAATGTCCATTTTAAGATCAAAGGTGTTTTACTGTAAAAATGTTGAAAGCCATTCAGAATTGAATTTCGTCCAATGAAACAGCTAGAAAATTTGTGTTGTAGCAATGTTTCCATTTGAGGGTCCTATACACTTGAGAATCCTCTGTATAGCAGTGGAAGGCAATTTTGTGCCTCCTGAAAATAGACCACAAAGGCAGCCAATACAGACTAAAACACAGAGAACCAAGTATTAAGCCCTGTAGAACACCACATAACAACAGTGCAGAGGAAGAGTGGAAATACTGACACAGAAACTCCTCCAGGAAAACCCAGAAGCCTAGTAAACTTTGAGAGGATGACAACAAGGAGGCATCATATCCAGACACCCGAAACACCTCAACAGACTCCTTTTGATTAGGAGATAGGTGGTACACAAGACACTGTTTTGTGGGTGTGGAAGAACTTGTTTTAAATTGCTCCCAGATTAGCTGTATTACTTAAACACTGGCCCAGAAGCTAAATTGCTGCCTGTTATTTCCATCTCAGAAGCAGCTCTTAGAAGAACTGTTAAAAACACACGACCAAAGAAAATAAGAGAAGGTAAGAGCTGGAAGATGTCTCTGTCTTGGTGCTATTTCTGGTCTCATTGTGAGTCTTTGTGAATTTAACACCCCATCTTGTTCTACCTGTTTTGTGAACACCTGACATGTAAATGTCATTCTCATCTGTCTTTTGATATAAACCATTGTGTCAAATACAACCTAGCATAATATTTTTTAACAGCTGTCAATAGTTCATGTAGTCAGAGACCAGCTCTTCGCTGTGGTTTTAACTGTCTGGAAGCTTTGGTGGTTGTAAGGTTTTGTCTCACAATTGACAATATTCTCTGTTGTGCATTTCTGCCAATCAGAGACATCCTTTAATGGTGATGTAAAAGGGGAGGGGCTTGTTCAGAAGAAAGGTAAGCTGTGTCTTTTTTTTTTACCAGTCTGGTGGCTTTTTGTTAAAATTTTGCCTCAAGCAGCCAGACTTCCTTGTGATTTACTATTTAAAAACATTTATGATTCACAATCTAAGGTGTGTGAAGCTTTTTTATTTTTGGGATTCCTGAGTTACTGAAAACTTGACCTACATGAAGAATGAGGAACAATCAGAGGAATTGGCCCCAAGGATTCAGCCAAAACATACGATAAGCACATAAGTATATTGCAGGGAGAAAGGGTTAGTGTAGTTTAATGCAGTGTGGTGTGTTTTGGTGTGTTGAGATGTGATGTGGTATGGTGGTTTGGTATTGTTTGGTTAATTGTGTGGTGTGGTGTGGTATGGTGGTTTGGTTTGGTTTATTGTGTGGTGTGGTGTGGTATGGTGGTTTGGTTTGGTTTATTGTGTGGTGTGGTGTGGTATGGTGGTTTGGTTTGGTTTGGTGTGGTGTGGTGTGGTATGGTGATTTGGTTTGGTGTGGTGTGGTGTGGTATGGTGATTTGGTTTGGTGTGGTGTGGTATGGTGGTTTGGTTTGGTTTGGTTTGGTTTGGTGTGGTGTGGTGTGGTATGGTGGTTTGGTTTGGTGTGGTGTGGTGTGGTATGGTGGTTTGGTGTGGTGTGGTGTGGTGTGGTGGCTTGGATTGGTGTGGTGTGGTGTGGCTCCTCCCTGGGTTGCCACCTTATCATGGTGGAGGGGTTTGAGTGTCCCAGTGATCCTAGAAACTAAGTTGTCTGAGGCTTTATACCTCTGATAGTGTCACCCATGGCAAACAGGTGTGGTGTGCTTTGATTGGTTTGGTGTCATTTCACAGTAACCTGACTTGGCTAGATTAGAGTCCACTATACTGGGCTTGAATGACTTGACTGTTTTCAACAAAACAAACAGGACTTGACTTGAATTAAGTCAAGCTTTACTTGACTTCACTTGACTGGACAACCACACATGGTTGATCAGGTACCGATTCTTAAAATTTGTCCAAGAACTAAAATCATGACAGAATGATGCCTCTAGATCATGTATCTGCTGATTTCTACAGGACTTTTCTGAAGACATGACAATGATACAGTTAGTCCGCTGTATCATTTGGCATCTGACTTGTCCACTTCCTAGCAAACAGTCAACGTCGCATGGACGTGCAGATCAACAGGCGCGTTGCAAGCTTTTCAAAAGTGTGGGGGATGTTGTCTGTGCCAAAAATAATTTCATGTTATTCATCTCGTTGGTTTAATTTCCATGATAGTTGAGCAGGTGCGAATTTTAGACGCGCCACGCATGTCTCCGTTTTAAACATGTTTAAATTGTTCAGAATACAAATCCAGGCTCTGTCTCGTTACATTGGTGTAACTAAAATTTGTACTGAATGAAACTTTACATTAAACCATGTTGAAAAGGTAAGAAAAGGATCCGATTAAATCGTTTTCCCCCCATTTACAGTCACAAAGTACAGCGCAGTGCGCATGCAAGTTTAGTTGTTTCTCTTTGCAACAATCTTCACAGGAAGGCAAAACAGTTAAATAACAGGTTACAGATAATTACATTTGACTGTTTATTTTGACGGATAAACTCAAGGATGTTGGTTGTTTTGAAAGAATTACCCCGACGCACACTGATGCACACAACAGATGAGCTGACATTTTAATCGATAACACACATCATGGAGGTAACTAAATCAATCAAGAAAAGATTCCCATCAGAACATCAGAGCTTTATACTGGACATGTGCTCAGCACAGCTCACAGCGCACATGGTGGACAGTGAGCGGAAGATCTGTAGAACTGAAGCAGTCCGTTCACTTCATAGAGCCGGCTTTTAGAGCAACCGACACATCACTAACATGTTAGCTAGCAAGATGGTTAAGGTTAGGATAGGGGTGAGGGGAAGGTTATAAGTCGCTTTGGATAAAAGCGTCTGCCAAATAAATAAATAAACATAAAAAACAAGAGGATAAGGTTAGGGTGAGGTACAATGAGCTTGTTTGTTGCCCTGGCTGCGGACATCCCATCGCGTCAGTTTTACGATGCATTGGGATCTGCAGTCAGAAAAGGGGAAAACCCCTTTTTGCACATAAGTGACAAAAAAGGGCACTTTTGGCGTCAGGGGTCTGACACGGAGGGTGGCTGACCAAGCGTTTGTTTTTGACGCGCTGGGAGTGAGAATATGTTGGGTAAACAGAGTGAGTGCGACATACAGAAACCAGACAGAAACCAGACTGGTGTGGAGGTGAGCAAAATGGCTGGAAAATTGTGGGTGTTGAAACCCCCACACCCCCCACGGGTGCGACGCCCACACAGATCATGTCTGTATTTAATCCATTGGTCGAGACCACATCTGTAGGACAACCAAACTAGGTCTTTGCACAGTGGGTCCTCTCTATCTGTAATGACTCACACCCACCAGGCTCAAATGTATCAAATGCATCAAGTTATGATCAAATGTATCTTTTTAAAAAGCTGTTACCTTCAAAATACTGATTCGTGCTTGTTTAATTTTTAGGTTTTATTTTAGATTTGACTAAATAAATGGTAACAAACTGTATTTTAGTGACATGAAGCGGGTAATTAAAAGCCTAAAGATCCCAAATCAAGCTGGTTCTTTGTAATGCTGTCTAGAGGCAGATTTACTGTGTTACCACACTAAGGTCAACAATTGCCTCAACAAACCAGGGGTCTTATAAAATATGTAACACACAGTATGGATCCTGTGTGTTTAGCTGCACCCGTAAATAACAGTGTAATGTACATGTGTAATACACAGAAGCAATTGAATCTGCTCTCCAGATGCAAGAACATAAAACATTAAAATCAACCTGACAAGAAAAAATGACAGATTACAAAATCCAATTAAAAATATACCAAAAATATGTCATTTAAGACACTGTTAATTTTTACAAGAAATTTTAATTTAGCCTTAATCTTAGTCTTTTGACTTTTTAATCACAATTTAGTTTTTTCACATGTTAGATCAATACAATTCTATATTTATAATTGTTAACAATAACTTATGGAAAATGCCGAAATGCACACAGACAGTTTGAATTCAATTCAAAGGGGTAAATTAAAGGTAAGAATTGTTTTCAGGTTTACAGTGGGTACAGAAAGTATTCAGACCCCCATCAATTTTTCACTTTTTGTTATATTGCAACCATTTTCTGAAATCAATATAATTCATTTTTTCCTCATTAATGTACACACAGTGCACCATATTGACAGAAAAACACAGAATATTAGAAATTTCTGCAAAGTTAGTAAAAAAAAGATGATCTGAAAAATCACATGGTCCTAAGTATTCAGACTCTTTGCTGTGACACAAATATTTAACTTGGGTGCTTTCCATTTCTTTTGATTGTCCTTGAGATGGTCTTACACCTTCACTGGAGTCCAGCTGTGATTATACTTACTGGACCTGATTAGGAAAGCTACATATCTGTTTACATAAGACCTTACAGCTCACAATGCATGTCGGAGCAAATGAGAATCATGAGGTCAAAGCCCTCACCAGTCAGGGCTTTATGGTAGAGTGGCCCGTTGGAAGCCCGTTCTCAGTGTAGGATACATGAAAGCCGGCATTGAGTTTGCTAAAAGACTGGCTTCAAAATGGTGAGGAATGAGATTCTTTGGTCTGATGAGACCAATATAAAACTTTTTGGCCTTAATTCTAAGTGGTATGTGTGGAGAAAACCAGACACTGCTTATCAATGGTTCTATACAGTCCCCACAGTGAAGCATGGCGATGGCAACATCATGCTGTGGGAGTGTCTTTCAGCTGCAGAGACAAGACGACTGGTTGCAATTAAGGGAACGATTAATGTGGCTAAGTACAGGGATACCCTGGACAAGAACCTTCTCCAGAGTGCTCAGGACCTCAGGCTTGGCTGAAGGTTTACCTTAAGCACACAGCTACAATAACAAAGGAGTGACCCAATAAGAGCTCTGACTTCCACCCAATTGCACATCTCTGGAAATAACTAAAAATGGCTATCCACCAATGTTCACCATCGAACCTGACAGAACTGGAGAGGATCTGCAAGGAGGAATGACAGAGGATCCCCAAATCCAGTTGTAAGAAACTTGTTGCATATTTACCAGAAGACCCATGGCTGTATTAGCTCAAAAGGGACCATGTGATATATCAGTTTTTCTTTTTTTTAACAAATTTGCGGAAATTTCTAAAGTTCTGTGTTTTTCTGTCAATATGGGGTGATGTGTGTACATTAATGAGGAAAAAAATAATTTAATTGATTTTAGCAAATGGCTGCAGTTTATCAAATAGTGAAAACTTGACAGGGGTCTGAATACTTTCGTACCCACTGTATTATGCACTAATTTACCGAGGTGGGCTGCCTGAACGATTTTCTGGGTCGCCTGAATGTGTATTTCTTGACAAAATCATTGTTAGAACTCCAAACTCTGAAAACATCGGCCATGGTAGCACCATGAAAACTACAAACAACCCGATTCGCCGCTCTGCACATTTAGTTCTGTTCGGTTCGGCTTCAGCAACCCTCTTCTCGCCTACCCCTGCGCACTGCGACCACCATCATACTTTTATAACCAGGAGAAACATGGGATGTGTACTCACCAAGCAAATACTTTTCAGATCATGATGTTTAATGCTTTTCCTCCCATCTGTGGACAATTTCTCCTTTTTGACAAACTGTTCAACTGTTATTGGCATAGACATAAATATATGATGTCTGTGGTTACTCGCAGCTTGTTCAAACAGTGGCTAGCTTCAGACTCTGGTTTATTTTCTTTTATTGTCTAGCCCTGCCTGTTCCATTTGCTGATTGGTTATTTTTTTCTGTTCTCTCATCTTTTCCATTTTATGATTTGATTTTCGTTACTTTCAGTTTGTGTTGTCTTTTATTCGTCAACAAAAATCTCCATTAATATTAATCATATTTTAGTCTTTGTGTAAGTGCTAATTAAAGTGTTTGTTTCGTTTTCATTCACAACATTTCATTGATCACAAATAAAAA